ACCGAGAGCTCCGACAAAAGGCTCAACTCCACCGCGTCGTCGGCTGCGTGGTCGGCATCGGGCGCCGCAGACATGCGGTACGTCTCGCCGTGCGGGCTCACAAACAGCCACGCCGACGCCTCGAGGTAGTCTCGGATGCGCCACCCGGCGGCGTGGGCGCCCTCCCAGAGGAGCGCGTCGACCAGCGATGGAGGCCCATAGCCGATGCGCGGGCGGCAGACCGTCGTCAGTACGGTGGGCTGCCCAAACAGGGATCCGGCGGCCGGAAAGGTCCAGATGCGCGTCGTCACGGCCGCCTCTCTCACCGGCCGGGCGTAGGGCAGGAAATCCTCTTCCGCGACCGCCCGCGCGTAGGCCACCGCCGCCCCCGTTTTCGAGTTGAAGTGGCCGAGGAGGACCTTCTGTCCATGCAGCTCGAGGACCGCTTTGTATCCGCCAATAATTTGGTACACGCCCCTGTAGCCGGTGCTGTTGCGGGGCGAAAGGTGTAGCCGCACCCCCTCCGCCTCCGTCACCGGAGCTACTTGTGGCTGCTCCCCCGCCGCCGCTGCCGGTTCTGCTGGTGCGATCGCCGCCGCTGCCTGTTCTGCTGGTGCGATCGGTGTTGCCGTCTCCTCCGCCGCCATCGGTGCCTGAACCATTGGCTCCGCCGCCCCTCCCGCAATTACCGACGCCGCCTCGACGGCACGGGCGTACGCCACCGCTGCCGATAGAGCCGTCTCAAAGACTCCGACGTAGACATCGCCATTGACACCAATGTAGACCGCCTCAAAGCGGCCACCGGACTTCTCGTAGACACCGCGAAATCCCGTGCTTGTGCTGCTCGAGAGATGCAATCGCAGGCCGTCGGGGAGCTGCGCTGCCTCCGCGGCTCTCCAGGCGGCCCACAAAGACATCTGATGAGAGACGAGCAGCAAGCATTCTCTGGTACCCGGGTAGGACGGGAACGAGATGATAGTAGGGAGTAGAAGAAAGCAAAGAGCAGCCCTGCGCACGCACGACTCCGCAGGAGAAACCCCTCCCCAGACAAAACACAAGGGAGAGGTGGGTGGGTCACAGAAAACTGCGGCCGCCAGCGACTGAGCGTCTCGCTGGCGGACGGGGAGAGGAACACAAAGGAAGGGACGTCCGGACGTCCATCCACTGGGATGCAAAACAAGTGTGAGTGTTAGATTTGTTTGGTATTGCTAAAAATCTCTCTCTCTGGGATGAGAATACTGGAGATCTGAGGTCGAATCTGCCGATTCCACAGCCGCCCACAGGAGCGCCGCCTCAACACGGGGTCTCGGCTCTATCGAGCCATGCTAGCTCCAGCCGCAGCCCCACCCGGCCGCCCGAGGGTGTTCCCGCAGGCAGAGAAGACCAATCCTGGGGGAAGTAACCTTCTCTGGTAGGACGGGAACGAGATGATAGTAGGGAGTAGAAGAAAGCAAAGAGGAGCCCTGCGCACGCACGACTCCGCAGGAGAAACCCCTCCCGCCCGTGCTTGCGCAGCGCAGCCTCCTCCTCCCTACGCGCAAGCTGGGCATGAGGATGATGGCGATTATGTCATGGCGTTGACGATCGCCAATACAGCCGTGATGCAAACGCAGATGAGGACGAACAGATGCCGATGGTGATAAGAGGTTCCCACCCTTGAGAGACGCGCCGAGTTGCCTCGCCGCGCCGCTGTTGATGACGGTACCTCGCGCGTCCGCTATGCGGTGCCGCGAGCTTCCGCTTGTGTATGGAAACCGATGGTGCCTCGCGCGTCCGCTATGCGGTGCCGCGAGCGTCCGTCTGTCTCCAGCGAGGATGGT